ATATATTCGACAAATAATTTCTAAGTAGCAGCCAGATGAATGTTATGGACGTTGTTTCAAAGTTCAGGTGTTTAATAATCTTATGACCTGTGGGATGAAACTGTCCCTGAGTCTGGTGGTTTTAGTCCGGATGCTGCGGTACCGCCTGCCAGACAGCAGCAGACAGAACAGTTTGCGGCTGGGGTGATGGGGGTCTTTTATAATCCTGAGGGCTTTCTTTAAGGTTAACCTGGTATACATTTATTTTAGTTACTTTGCAGATTCTGATTAATGATGTGAAATATAAACAACCCTTAAATCAGACTTTAGTTACACCTGAGTAAAATTCAGGGAAGGTGATTGTCAAGTGCCAACAATCAGGAGAGGTAGTTGGTGCTTGAGAAGACTAAACATTTATCTGCAGATCCCTATAAAGTATATGCGTTATTCCCTACTAATAGTTAATTAACACTCAAGTTCTGCAACACTCCCAACACGCACACACAGTACACCCGCGACTGTTACAATGAAGGCTCGATAATCAGCTCACGGCATATAGGCAGGGGTAAAGTGCTATTTTTTATTAGTGAGGGGCGGACCTAACCTCCACTTCCCGGGGGGATGCTCCCCCGGGAAGATTTTTTTTAAATATTGAAGTTAAAAGCATCAATCTGGTGCACTTTGAAAGCAAGATTAAGAGATCTTTGGATACATCTCTCAACACCCATATGAAACAGAACTCAACAGATTTTCTTTTTCTTTATGGATATTTTACAAATCACTCCCCTTTTAAACTCTATTCTTGTTTTACTGCCATATAGACTATAATGATCATATGAAGGTGTGCCACGGAAATAATCTTTTGAATAATTTGTGACCAAACCATTTGAGACCCATTAAGCTAACGGCACATTCACACCAGCCTTTTATAGTCCGGTTGAATCTAACCCTGGTGCGTTTAACCGCTTGGTGCGATTCATTTGGGTCGGTGTGAACGCAGTCCGAGACCTCTTAAGTGAACTAAACAACCGGACTCTGGTCCGCTCAAATAGGTGGTCTCGGAACGCTTGCTTGCGAACTCTGGAGCGGTTCATTGCTGGTGTGAATGCAGTCCGCACCAAAACATACGAAGCGTAGTATTTACGTGTCACAAGAACGCGGATGTCTTCAAAAATCTTTAGCGAAAGAGTCTTTCAAGACATCCGCGGTTGTTAATTTAAAGAGTAAAGCAGAATAAGTGTTGAACAGTGTCGTGTAAAGTAAAAATGCTCCGTCAACTACATAAAAGTAAGAACACCTGTCGTCGGTGAAACGCCCCTCCTTACTGCAGAACGTCTCATTATGTTATAATGTTTTTTAACGGACGTTGTCTGATTATATAATCATATGCATGGGTGTTCCGGATTAACTGGTTTCTCCGTTAACTGGTTTCCCGATCAACTGGTTTCCCGATCAACTGGAGCACAGATGTGGCGGTGATATTCGATCACATTTGTTGGTATATTTGGCTCGGTAGGAAGACTTAGATGCACATTCAGTGCCAGTGTGAGACGTTGTGGTTATGAATGAGATATCCGGACGCGAACAGCGGGGACTACAAAAAGAAAAACTAGTTGACTGGGGATGTCTGTTCAAAACATTGCGAGCTCCAATAAATCATTTAAACCAGCTATTGTTGCAAGACTTATTACTGAATATCGTTCTTAATGTGATACCAAGTCCATCTGAGACCTGTGTACACCTTCAGACAGCCTCCAAGTGAAGCGTACGTTGTTTACTCACAGTTTAAAAGCAGCGTGGAGAAGTCTTCTGCTGTGGTAATCCGCTCGAATAAATCATTAAAACCAGCTATTGTTGCCCGGTTTATCACTGAATATCGTTCCTAATGTGATACCAAGTCCATCTGAGACCTGTGTACACCTTCAGACAGCCTCCAAGTGAAGCGTACGTTGTTTACTCACAGTTTGAAAGCAGCATGGAGAAGTCTTCAGCTGTGAACTGTAAACTGTGATCCTCTCAGGTAAACTGCGATCCGCCCAGGGAAAAATGGGATCCGCCCAGGTTAAACTGTGTTACGACTTCTGTGGCTATCTACCAGCGATCATGTTTAATATGAAAGACTACACACACATTTATCCCTTATAAAAACAGTATTCTGCAGCACTCTTCTGGATAAGATGTGACTGTTAACTCGTTTTGCAAAGATAGCAGCAGAAATGTCACATGTACTTAGACTTTAAAATGCTGATGGGTCATTAATGTTGGTCTTGGCAAACAATATTAGGAGTCCTCTATTCAAACGTAATATTCAGTGTCCATCGACATGAAAATAACAAAAAAGTTCATGCTGGACTCAAATCCGAGTCCCAACAGCAAAAATCACTCGGGCCCTGCACGTTACTACTGCCCCACGGATCTACACAAAGTATTACACCACCACACTTTAATATGTTGGATTAACCTTGTTAAAAAGTTCCAGAAAGATGCAACCCGACCATCATTTATAATGTGAGCGAATGTATCTACACTTATAATATACATATTATAGTAGGCATTTGCTTAGAAATAGTATATAGGCTACTGACTGAGGTCTGTATCAAGCCTCATTAAGACCCACCGAGATCAGATATCCTAGTTTATCAGCCTGCGAGCCCACATTATGTTGTGATAACTGTTAATTGTACATATAAATGTGTTCCAGTGCACACATAAAGTTCCAATATGCAAATCAGGCCATGTGTGTCGTTACATTTGCCATGCAACATTATGCTATAATATAATATTTAGCCTCACAATATAGACATTTTTAAACACTAACTTTTTAAATAGGCCCTCCATTTCCTGTTGCTATGTCTGCTAATGCAGTAGATGATGGGATGTAAACCTGGACCAAAAGGTTTATATTCTAGCAATACTGGCTGTCTTTTCTGTCTTGCGACAGACTCACCAAAATAAAATACTTTACAGCAGGCATCACGTCCCCTATGGTGTGCTAAGGGCTAATTTTACATATTGCAACTATAATAACAGTGGCCAAATTCATGTTCTAATATGTGACCTGCTCCATCGAAATCAGTCGCATTGCCCCGAAGACACATTTTGAGTTGTATACACTGTTGGAAAGAGGATATTCCTAGCTTTCTAATGATATCAGGATTGTTTTTGTACTCCAAATATTAAGCGAAATATGTCACATTATATAATGACTGTCACCGAGTCATCATTTTGAGAAAAAGGCCTTCAAAGTTTCCTCTTCTCTGGAATCCATCGATCTGATTGATTATTAGCGGAGCAAATTATCAAAATACTACGGAGGGAAGATATTTTCGTTTGGAGGGGAAGCTCGCGAGTGTGTGTGGATACGTGTGTGTGTGTGTGTTTGTGTATTTTTGCATTTGTGTGTAACGGTACACGTACCCGTACCGAAATTATTCGGTACGGGCCCTTCGGTTCGGTACAGGTGTTTACCGAAGTGTACCGAACGAATATAACGTTAAACGTAAAAAATTGAGAACGTGAATAACTTTTTGGAAGTAATCTCAGGTGCTGCGTCGCAGCATTCAGAGTAATTTGCTCACATTGGGTTCAACGCGTCATAGAGCGAGCAAGTCATTTCATTGGATGAGAGGCATACAATGAGAGCTGGTCAGAGGGATGCGTTCATATGTAGTCAGTAATTTGAGGAACTGTCAAAAATTAATGGCGAACGCAGATAAAGTTGAGCTCGAAAATCCTCCAGCATCATTGAAGTCTCCAGTTTGGGAACATTTTGGTTTCGCAGTTACGAACAAGGATGACGGACAAAGACAGGTGGACCGAACCAAAGCTGTTTGTCGGCATTGTTCAACTAAAATTGGTTACGCGGCTGGCAATACATCAAACTTGCACACTCATTTGAAAAGGCATCACCCGAACGTGAATATCACCGGTACCAAAAGAAAAAAGACTGAAGTGCAAACCCAACTCCCGCTAGCATTTAAGCCTCCACCACTCGCAGAGAGTTCAGACCGAGCCAAAGCTATTACAAACGCCAAATATCCTTATGTTGCCATGTTAGCAAAGCGCTACCTGGCTGTATCTGCTACCTCTGTCCCTAGCGAGAGGGTTTTCTCCACATCAGGAGACATTGTTAGTGCCAGCAGATCTGCCCTTTCGGCAAGCAATGTGGACAAGTTCATTTTTCTTTAAAAAAACATGAACATACAATGACAAGCATGTCCTAATGTCAAACTGGCTGCTTAGGTGCTAGTACAGTACAGTTCAAATACATATTATTTCAGTTCATCGAAATGCTGCACCTTAATGTTAATTTTATTATATTTTGTATTTATTTGAGTGAATACATTATTCACAGTTTAATAATAATAATAAAAAAAAATATATATATGTTTTGTTTTGTGAAAAAAAATTCTGCTGTACCGAAAACGTACCGAACCGAATTGTGACCAAAAAACCGAGGTACGTACCGAACCGAAATGTTTGTGAACCGTTACACCCCTAGTGTATTGTGTTTGTTTCCCGGGGAAAACACTCACGAGAAACACCGGCTGTTGTTATGCCTGCTGTGACGTTAAGTTACTCCGTTCTCCGCTTGTAACTATGCCGTTACAAGCTTCAAAGTTGTAGTTATCATCTGAATTTGCCGAAACAAGTTTAATATTCTGAAAGCCAAGACTTTGTTTAATTGAAATCAGATAAAAACAAACTGTAACGGACCCTGCCATGTTATCTATGATTACTATACTCTTACATTCATAATGTCAGCCGGAGGGGGGGGGGGGGCGGATTTTGGAAATAAAAGTTTCATATTCTGAAAGCCAAGACTTTGTTTGTTTAAAATCAAACAAAACACCCGAACCCCGAAAAAATAGTTTTTTACGTAAATCCACATTTATTTTGAAATGAGCCGTTGCGACTTCCGACTGATTTCGATAGAGCGGGTCACATATGCAATGCAAGCTTTGCTTCTGTATAGTAGATAGACTTACTCATTAGTGTGACAGAAGGAAAGACAACAACAATGATAGTAATGATTCAGTATCAGCTTTATTTGGCATGTGTAGACATACAAGGAATATAGCCTTTTTCTGTCCTATTGGGACCCAAATCACACAGCGATGGATGTACAGAGAACAGACTGAATTATTGCAGAGTAATAATAATAATACATTATATTTATATACCGCTTTTCTTCAACTCAAAGTCGCTTTACAGTATGATGGAGGATAGACAAACAAGGACAGGCAAACAAATGAATATAGTAAAATAAAATAAACAGAAAAGGCAGTCAAGAGGAAGTTGATTGAGAGGGGGGGGGATTATGGGTCAACAGAGTTGAAAGTAGATAGAGTAGAACTGGATCAGCAGCTCCTGACGCAGGTTGTACTCCGACCTGACGCAGGAAGTGTTGTGGCATCAAGACTTGCATGCAGGGCAAAAATACTCGTCCTCTGTGGAGGGCAGTCCCATGCATCCAACGTGATGCCACATTTGACAGGTGGTGCACTCAATCTGACAGGGAAAAAGATAAATACTGTCAAACATTTTGTCAGGTTCACATCAATCATCCTGATTAGGATGTAAAATTATGCTGTTTTAACTTCCTTAGACATTATTTATTTACATAGTATGGCAATGGGTGTCAGATATAGGGTTAACATCTTAGCTATGGTCCTTTCTGTTTGGAGTCTGTGTTGGTATGTTCCTTCAGCTGCTCCAGTGCCCACCGAAAGTGCAAAGACATGCAAGTTAGGTGAATTCAACTATACATTTTCAATAGCTGTGTGATAGTGAGTGTTCACCCAGTGATGTGGAGGTAACCTATCTAAGGTGCATCCCAGTCTTCCAGCAGAAGGTTGGTCAGGACATGAGTTTCTCTACATACCCACGTATCAATGTCAGCCCCCAAGCTGAGCTCCCCACAAGCCCTACAGAGCTGGGATAGGTCATCTGTAAACAATAAGATAATGTAGTTTAATGGCAATATAGACACATTCAAGTATACCTGGTAGAGTTCTGTATACCTGAATTTGTCACCAGAGACATTGCCATGTCCAGCCGCAACATGGCCACACCCTTCTGGTCAACAGGGTAGTCGACTGTTTGGCCAGACAATATCTGCTCTGCAAGCTAAAAAGTATCCGATAAGTATAATTTGGAGCACTTTTTAATAATGAGAAATAGCAACAGATATAATCAAATGTTTACCTTGCACACAAACACCCCGCATGATGCCGAGTCCTGTTGCTTAGGGTGAGCAACGGTTGCGCATGCCCATCTCCCTATTGCCGGACACTTCTTGCGGACCAATGCTCTACACACAAAACACACATTTATTACAGTTTGCCATTTTTAACATATGCCCAAGTCAAATCATTTAATTCAAGATCAATTGAATCCTGTTCAAGGACAAAAATGCTTGAATTACCTTTTTGTTGCTTCCAAAAGATGATCCATGGTGTATGAATACATGTTTTTATCTAATGCACACATCAAAGATGACATTTCATTCACCTTGTTACGTCCTTGCATTTTTCGATCTGTGCTTCTATGGCCCCAAATGGGTCCAAGTACAGGGACCGCCTCTCCTTTAGGTACATGATCTATGGAAATGCAAATACTAATTATAACCAACTCCTACATCAGATAGTGTCATGGTTCCGTCTAGATCTGTTTACGTTGAAGATTACTTACAATCAGTGTCCGTGGTGGCAGACTGCTCCAACTGCCACATCATGTTTGAAAAGGTCCAACTAAAAACAAATATTATAATTCCAACAACTAATGTATACACCAACATAAGTATGTATTTGTGTGTATGGACATACAAACATACATATAGACAAAATACATAGGCCTACTTAATTACAAAAAAAGAAATCATCCTACTATATAGTCCTACTCACACTTCTCAAAGAACCTTTGTGGTTTCCCTCCCAGAGCGACGTCATGAGGTAGGAGTCTATCAGGAGAGCGCCAGCTTTCCTTCCCACCATAGTCAAATATGAATTGACGATCTAAGAGTACAAAAATAACTTAATAAATATCAGTCCAATATTCTTTGTTTTGTAACTTACCTCTCCCTCCAACCACTTCCCTGGGGCCAAGTCCATTACGTTTTCTGAATATACTTTATATGGCCCAAACTTGCACCAGAGCGTCTGCTTTCTCCTCCCTGTCCATATTTGTCGAATTACTGTAAATATAGCAATGGCATTTGGAGTGTACTTTCTGTCTGTTTACTTACAAAGTTCAGGATCCTTTGGTGCCATTTCGGCGTTGCAGTCCATGGATGGAGGTGCCACTTGTGGTGTTTGTGTGGTGGGTGTTTGTGTGCTGTGGATGTGTGTTTGTGTGTTGTGGACCAGCCAGAGGAGAGGGATCGGACAACTTTTGTAGTTTGGCAGGGATCCTCTCCTCTGGCTGGAAATAATGTGTCAAATGGTCAATATTGGTCTGCAGCTTCTTTGCACCCTTACCAACAATGGCCTTTTCCCCCTCTAGTTCCAGGATGATGAATGGTCCCAACCAGTCATCCTCCAGCTTTCCCCCTTTTCTTTGCTCCTGTCTCACATTCCTCCGCAACACCTGATCCCCTACTTGGAAGTTGTCCTCCTGGCCCTTTTTGACTTTACTTTTGCGGACGTTGTCCTGGCTTCTTTTCATATTGTGTTTCACCTCTGTGAATACAGCCTCCTGTTTCTTCAAGCCTTCATGGACCTCCTCCATTTCGACCAGCCTGCTGACTTTCTCTTCTTTGACCTGCAACAAATGACAGTTAGAATCTTAGAAGGCAGATGATCCAAATGAAAACGTTTGAAAAGGATGACAACATTAGAACATCTTACCAGGTACTCCTTTGGCACCTCTGACGGATACCTAGCCTCCCTCCCAGACATCAAATAGTAGGGGATGTATTTTGTGGTCAGCTGTTTTTTGGTCCGAAGAGCAAACATGGTGGACTGGAGAACCTGGTCCCAGCGTTTAGGGTGACCAGCCACTATTTTGTTCAACGACCTTAAAATGCAGAATTCAAGCATAGGTATGAGGAAGCAGGAGAGCATATTGGTTCTCATATATGATAAAGCAGCATATCATTAGTCATTAGGAAATGTGTTTGTTATTCTATGAAGAGCGTGAATTCCATCAGATATTGAAAACCAATACCTCTGGATAGTGCCATTCAATTTCTCCACAAGGCCATTGGTCTGTGGGTGGTACGCAGAGCACAGGATTATTTTTATGTTCAGCGTCTCACACAGGCCAGAGTTGAGCTTGAAATTATCATTAGGACAAACAAACAATAGGGTAGCACAGCAACTACAGTTACATATTGGGGATTCATACTGCATCAACACTATACCTTGTTGCAAAACACAGAGCCCTGGTCTGTTAGCAGTCTTTGAGGTGCACCACATTTGTAAAATAAATCAAGGATACAATTGGTCTTCTGCTGTTTTAGTTTTAAGTGGGTAGGCCTCTGCCCATTTGGTGAAATAGTCAACCATTACACATATGTACTGGTTGCCACCATCAGTTACTGTGAGTTTACCCACTAAGTCCATCCCAACCAGTTCAAAAGGCTCTGTAACCTGGAAAAAAAGACATGAGCATTACAGTAAATCACTGTTGACGTGTTTCTACACTGACAATACCAGTATGCCATTGTTTATTTTTACCTCTATCGGACTGTACTCCAGCTTTTCTTTAATGTTGGCTCTCTTGGCCTGGCACTGTGGACAATGAGCAATCTAAAACAGACAAACATCATTTCAAAGTTATGACAAATATTTAGTGCAAATAAATGTGCTATATTATATTTTAAACTGATAGGGTGTTTGCGCATACAGCATCAGCAATTTTGAAATACACATTACACTCCTCTGTGCTCTACTTTTGAACCTGAATGTGTATTCCACCACATTATTTTGAAGATACCAACTCACCCACTTGCGTATGTCACTCTCCATGCCAGGCCAATAGTACCGAGCAATAAGAGCACAGTGAGTCTTCTCCAGTCCACAGTGTCCACCAATATTGCTGCAGTGAAACTCCTCAAACACGTGGTTTGCTTCTTCAGCAGTAGAGACCACTTTGGCAAGGTGCTCAGCTTTATTTTGTTTGCACCTGCAGATGTAGTACAGTTCTCCATCTGGTGTTTATATGTCATAATATTAGATGTATTAGTTTTACCATAGCATATTATCATTGTGTTCTAGAGTCCATATGGCATGCATCCTTACCCTTTATCCTGAAGGTGTCAGCTCTCCTCTTCATGACATATTTTTCGTTCTTTGTTGACCCCTCAGGATACTGGTGGTGGACTTTGAGATCCAGAATTTCTTTGACAATTCTGGGTTCCATTTTCCAACACTCTCTGTCCCTCCTTCTACTCCAACACCTACTTCCACCTGTCTCGCCTATGCGCCTACTCCTCCCTACCTACTTACCATCACATATTCACACAAAGAAATGAATACAACAAAGACAAACAAACAAAGTGACAAATACACGCAAACGTACAATACCAGCCTCTCTCAAATACACACAGTCGCACCTCAATTACTCACCCACTATCACTCACCAGGACAATCACTCAATCACAGGCAACGCTCAATCACTCACTATCTCTCTATGTCTCTCTATATCTCGCTATCTCCTCACTAACCACACAAAATTGTGAAAGGTTAATCCAACTTATATAGACTGGACCCATGCCCCAATTAATGATAAGTCTGTATACCTGTTGTTCAATTGTATGTTTCACTAACACACTGCATGAAAGTATAAACGGGTATCAAATCGACTCGACATCATATTAATAACGATATATGATACAAATGTAAGACTGACAACAAGAATAGTTTGTAAAGGATTTATTGACGTTAGAATGATTAACAAAGCACTTATATACTAACTAAGGACTGGCTTATCTAAAGCCAGTTGAGTAGCACTTGAAATGGTTTAGCTCTATGAAACCTGATGTACTTATATGATTCTGTTTTCTTCAAGTTTGTATCTTCTTGGTCGAATGCACTTATTGTAAGTCGCTTTGGATAAAAGCGTCAGCTAAATGCAATGTCATGTAATGTAATTGACGTGAGTGTTTTGAACACACAATTTATGATTCTCCATAAGGTGTCATGTTGATTCGTGGCACACTCATAACGCGCAGGACTTACTGTACGTGATTTTTGCTGTTGGGACTCGGGTTTGTGTCCTGCATGAACTTTTTTGTTATTTTCATGTCGATGGATACTGAATATTACGTTTGAATAGAGGACTCCTAATATTGTTTGCCGAGACCAACATTAATGACCCATCATTATTTTAAAGTCTAAGTATCCCTGCGCATGCAGCAATGACATTTCTGCTGCTATCTTTGCAAAATGAATTAACAGTCACATCTTATCCAGAAGAGTGCTGCAGAATACTGTTTTTATAAGGGATAAATGTGTGTGTAGTCTTTCATATTAAACATGATCGCTGGTAGATAGCCACAGAAGTCGTAACACAGTTTAACCTGGGCGGATCCCATTTTTCCCTGGGCGGATCGCAGTTTACCTGAGAGGATCACAGTTTACAGTTCACAGCTGAAGACTTCTCCATGCTGCTTTCAAACTGTGAGTAAACAACGTACGCTTCACTTGGAGGCTGTCTGAAGGTGTACACAGGTCTCAGATGGACTTGGTATCACATTAGGAACGATATTCAGTAATAAGTCTGGCAACAATAGCTGGTTTAAATGATTTATTGGAGCTCGCAATGTTTTGAACAGACATCCCCAGTCCGGATATCTCCATCATAACCACAACCTCTCACACTGTCACTGAATGTGCATCAAAGTCTTCCTACCGAGCCAAATATACCAAAAGATGTATGTAAACGACAGAAGAAGCGATCGAAAATCACCGCCACATCTGTGCCCAGGCCAGGTGACGCCACTGCTCTCTACATACATAAGAGTATAATTAATGTGTATAATATCAGTTATCAGGGGCGCCAGCTAACATCTTGCTTAGGGCAGCAAATTGGTCGACCAAGACAGACAGAAAAACCAGAACTTAAATACACACAAGACTAATTATACAAACAAGACACAGGTGAGGAGGGAGGAGAAAACACAGGGACACCAGGTGCACACAATCGGGTAATAAGACACACCAGGGAAACTAACGACAGGGAACCACAGACAGATCTACAGACAAAACACAACGCAGACAGAAAACCAAAGACAGATCTAGACAAGACACAACACAACACAGACAGAAACAGGTAAGACAGGAGGTGAAGACCTTTCAAAATAAAACACGAAACAAGACAGAAAAAGACAAGACAAAATACAACACGGACACAGGACTTAGGGTTGGCAGGACCCCCGGCAGAAGAGTAGTCGTCGGGGCCTCCCACGGGACAGGACAAAGGGTTGGCAGGACCCCCACCGGAACCTCCAACGGTACAGGACATAGGGTTGGCAGGACCCCCGGCAGAAGAGCAGTCTGCGGGACCTCCAACGGCACAGGACATGGGGTTGGCAGGACCCCCGGCAGAAGAGTAGTCGGCGGGACCCCCAACGGGACAGGACATAGGGTTGGCAGGACCCCCGGCAGGAGAGTAGTCGGCGGGACCCCCTACGGGACAGGACAAAGGGTTGGCAGGACCCCCAGCGGAACCCCCAGCGGAACCTCCAACGGTACAGGACATAGGGTTGGCAGGACCCCCGGCAGAAGAGCAGTCTCCGGGACCTCCAACGGCACAGGACATGGGGTTAGCAGGACCCCCGGCAGAAGAGCAGTCTCCGGGACCTCCAACGGCACAGGACATGGGGTTGGCAGGACCCCCGGCAGAAGAGTAGTCTGCGGGACCTCCAACGGCACATGAGTAGGGACTTGAGTGGGAACTCGAGAGGAAACTTGAGTTTACTTGAATGGAATCTCGAGAGGGAACTTGAACGGAGACTCGAGAGGTGACTTGAGAGGGGACCCGATAGGGAACTCGAGAGAGGGCTTGAGAGGGGACTCGAGAGAGGGCTTGAGAGGGAACTCGAGATGAGACTCGAGAGGGGACTCGAGAGGGAACTCGAGAGAGGGTTCGAGAGGGAACTCGAGAGAGGGTTTGAGAGGGAACTCGAGAAGGAACTGGAGAGGAGACTTGAGAGGGAACTCGAGAGAGGACCCGAGAGGAAACTTGAGAGGGAACTCGAGAGGAAACTCGAGAGGGAACTTGAGAGGGGCCTCGAGAGGGGACTCGGGTAGGAACTGGAGAGGGGACTCGGGTAGGAACTTGAGAGGGGACTCGGGTAGGAGCTTGAGAGGGGACTAGAGAGGGAACTTGTGTCGGTCGGTACGCCGACAGGACACGGGGAGCTGGCGTTGGCTTGAGAGCCAACAAGAGACGAGGTGCTGGAGTCGGCCGGTACGCCGACAGGACTCGGGGGGCTGGTGTTGGCTGGAGAGCCAACAGGAGACGAGGTGCTGGAGTCGGCCGGTACGTCGACAGGACACGGGGAGCTGGCGTTGGCTGGAGAGCCAGCAGGAGACGAGGTGCTGGAGTCGGCCGGTATGCCGACAGGACTTGGGGATCTGGCGTCGGCCGATGAGTCAACAGGTGACGAGGAACCGGAGTCGGGACCATGACTCCTGGGGCCGGTACTTGAGCCGGAACCATGGCTGGAACTGGGGCCGGAACCATGGCTGCTGGGCCCAGTACTTGAGCCGGAATCATGGCTGCATGGGCCGGTTCTGGAGCCGGAAACATGGCTGTAAGATCCAGTTCTGGAGCCGGAAACATGGCTGTAAGGTCCAGAGCCTTACGGCCCCTACACACGGCGGCGTGCGTTGCCGCTTCAACGCTTCTGCCCATTCACTTTGAATGGGGTGACGTCACGATTCGCCGAACTGCATTGTGGGAGCAAAGCGTAGCTTCTCTCGCGGTGCTCGCTGCAAAAGTAGAGCAATGTTCTACTTTTGACGCCTCGACGGAGGCGTCAGCCAATCGAATCATATGCCAGTACAAGCTCTAGCCAATCAAACCGCATGCTTGTGTGTCTGGGGCGGGAGATTCATGTGATTGGTTGTTGGTCGAGTTTCAGCCCCCCCCGCCGGCAAGCGACAACGCACGCCACCGTGTGTAGGGGCCGTTACAGCCTGGGGCCAGAACTAGGGCTGGAACCACGGCTACTGGGGCCAGAACAGGGGCCGGAACCATGGCTGCTGGGGCCAGAACTGGGTCTGGAACCATGGCTGCTGGGGCCAGAACAGGGGCCGGAACCACAGCTGCTGGGGCCGGAACCATGGCTGTCTGGGGCCAGAACTGGGGCTGGAATCATGGCTACTGGGGCCAGAACTGGGGCCGGAACCATGGCTGCTAGGGCCGGAACCATGACTGCTGGGGCCAGAACAGGGTCTGGAACCATGGCTGCTGGGGCCAGAACAGGGGCCGGAACCATAGCTGCTGGGGCCAGAACTGGAGCCAGAACTGGGGCTGGAACCATGGCTGCTGGGGCTGGAACCATGGCTACTGGGGCCAGAACCGGGGCCGGAAACCATAGCTGCTGGGGCCAGAACTGGGGCTGGAACCATGGCTGCTGGGGCCAGAACTGGGGCTGGAACCATGGGACTTTGGGCTCGTGCTTCTAACCTGGCCTTGCGACTCCTTCTTTTAGGAACCGTTTGGAGGCTCCGTGGACCTACAAAAGCCAGACGAGTACCAGCGAATGGCTCCTGGACTGTAGCAAACACTGGGTGAGAAGCAGGGGCTGACGCCAGACGGACCACACCGATGCGTGTGGTATCTGCCAGAGCAGCATCTCGCTGTTGAACCCTGACCGCTCCTATCCATCGATGAGCGCAGTCAGACAAAGAAAAGGTATAATCCAATAGTTCCTGCTCAAACGGATCTGCTGGGCCCATATCTCAGGTCGGTTCGTAATCTTACGGTGTGTGCAGGAAGCAGGACCCAAATGCAGATTAAAGTGTAAAAAATATCTCCTTTATTTCAAGGCTATACTATAAACAAAGACAGAACAGAACACTCACCGAAGACCAAGTCATAACACAAGACAAACCGACCAAGACAGACAGAAAAACCAGAACTTAAATACACACAAGACTAATTATACAAACAAGACACAGGTGAGGAGGGAGGA